TCAGACATAATGAACCAGAAGGGTCAGCTTGCCTGGGAGCTCTACCTGAAGATGGGAACCTCCTCAGATTCCTTCCATCTGCTCCAGCTCATTGCCAATGACTGCTACAAGGTGACATCCTCCTCCCTCCTCTTCCTCTTGTGCTGTATGTGGTGGCTGTTTTAACCCGGTGAGATCTTACTCATCAGCAGTGATGACCCCAATCCTATCAGAACACGTAGTCTCAGCAATCCGGGGACAAAAAAGTGTTTACATTGCTCCAAAAATACTTTTTTGCTCATCTTCAGAACAAACTGGAGGGTTATGCTCATAACTGCGACTTCACAGGGTTCATTTTAAGATTTTGGAGAAAATGAGTTAGTCAGCTGGGATATGTTCCTGCCCCTCCACCATAGCCCCGAATAAGAGATTAAGTAGACAGGGAAAACGAATCAATTATATTGATTGATTAATTAGTGGTTAGTTAGTGGTTTCCTTTCCAAACACTGAAGGAAAGATTAATGATAAGAAATGAAAACTTGTATTTAGTCGCAGCCCTGCTTTGAATATTTATTTGCCTTTTGTGATGAATTTACACAAAGTGCCACAGCTAATGATTTGATACTTTATTGAGTAACTTGCTGATTATTTATTTTCCATAGATGGAGACAAGACAAAAACCTGTCACGGTATCAGATCAAGAAAAGCAGCAAATACTCAGCCTCATAACAACAACAGTAATTTTATGTTTTTGTTTGTCTGAGAGTAAATCATTGATTCTGGCTGCTGCATGACTACACGTGGCAGCTCGCTTGTTAAAACGCCTTCATTTATTGCTGAAGGCAGGAGTCCTTCAGTTCAGTTGTGTAACATTTCTGAGGAATGCCTGCATCCTGAATTCAGAAATGTCAGATGTATTTTAGAAGTCCCAAATGTCACCTTAAATGGAGAAACGGCACCTTTTATGCTCCGCCTGCTGGATTTTGTGGTATTTTTCACAGGCTGTGCAGCTGCAGTCTTTACCGAAAATATTTTGATATCTTTTTAAAGTGGACTTACTGTGTTTTTCTTTATTTTCTGTGTGTAACTGTCAGAGTGCTGGATGCTTACATATAAATGAGGTCATCACTAAGTCAAAAACTCACTTTTAGCTTCACAGACTTCAGACTCTTACCTCTAAACATCTTGCTGTCAAAGAGAGGAGATATCTGTAATAAGGTCATCTTAGGGACACAGCTCTGACTGTGAGCACAGGAATCCACTTGCTGTTTGTGAGGGGCAGCCAATCAGAAGACACAGGGCCTCAAAGAGACACAAACTGCTTGTTTTAGACAGTGGATTAACTGAGGGGCAGCACAAGGGGCCGGCATGAAATAAAAAAGCCGTGAATCACACAAAACTACTCTAAAGTCCAAAAACAACAATATGGAGCTGGGAATGAGCATAAATAGTCCACCTGAAGTTAAAGAAGTTAGTAAACAGGCTTTGCGTGCCGATGCTCATGACTGCAGCCTGTCGTTTCAGATGGGTCAGTTCTACTACGCAGCGAAGGCCTTTGATGCACTGGAGAAGCTGGACCCAGCCTCCAACTACTGGGAGGGGAAAAGAGGGGCGTGTGTCGGCGTCTTTCAGCTCATACTGGCAAACAAGGAACCCAAGTATGTTTGTCTCTCTTTCCTGTGGGGTGGTTTTAGTTTTGATCATCGTGCCATCTGCAGGAATGGGTGTGAGGTTTAAGCAAAGTAAACATGAGAGATTGTGCATTCTTTACGTAATCTTGTATCCTCACATATCCTGTTTGCACCCTAGGGAGACTCTTAAAGAGGTGCTGACCCTCTTGCGAAATTCAGGAAACCCCCAGGTTGAGTACATCATCCGAATTATGAGGAAGTGGGCCAAAGACAACAGAGTCCTCCTCTCGTGACAGCCTTGAGCCTTCAGTGCTGAACTGAAGACTCCAAGCCCACGATAAGAGCTGCCGGGATGCAGACAGCAGCACTGATGATTTATCCCACATCAAGAAGGATTTGTATTTTTCTACTATACTCTAGTTCTTTGTGCTGTTCTGTGTACATGTATTTAAATTTAACACATAATTTAACTGGATTAAACTTTTTTAAAACAAATGTCAGTGTGTAAACATTTTCAGACCATAAATTACACACTAAACACTTCATACTGTCAACATCTATAAACATCAGTGGCTATTTCTAAACGTTGCACATTTCCTAAGAGTTTATTGAGCATAGCTGCTAAGCTGTGCTCTGTACCAGTGAAGGAAGGATTCCAGTCTTAGTATTAACTCTGAAAAAATACTTTAGGTTTTCTACAATTTAATTTTTAAAGTTACATAAAAGTCCACCATTTGAAGTACACTTTACCTGCACAACTAGTATTTCCACATTGCACTATGGTGTGCATGGGCTCACATATAAACAGTTAAAGGAGCACTCACTTCAGGCAGTATTCCACTTTTATACAGCTGTTATGACCCTGGCCTTCGTCTGAGACCTGTCTTTAAAAGGAAAATATTGAAATGGGTAAAATACGTGCTTTTCATGTGCTATTAATGAAGCTGCAGTAAGGGCCTGATAGGTCTCTGTGACTCACACCAGTCTGTGACATCACCTCCTTCACTCATTTTTCCTGTTAAAATAGGAAAAAGAGTGGTGCCCATTTGTTGGCCAGTTTCCTCATTAACATCTTCTGTTAACATGATAAACGTGTAATAGATTACAGTATTGGACCAGAATAGACATTTTTATTAAAATCATTAATTATTCTGTTCAGTCATTTGCAGCACGGTTTTGTTTTTCTGGTTTTATTTAAAAGTAAAATCAGTTTTCTGAGTGACATCAAATCTTTGACATGCAGTAAGCGTGTGGAAATGTCAGTAGTTAAACCTTAACCTGCCTCTGCAGAGTCTTCTTCAATGATAATAACACAGATCCTAACCCTAATCTCTACCACTTTACTTTCACAACATGGGATTTGGGGCTTTTGCTGATTGCTCACTAAGGCCTTTGAAATCAGGAAATGCACAAAAAAAAGAAAGTTCTTGATAAGACGCATCAAAAAGTTTTTAACTTTTAAGGTTCGAGTCCTCGCCTGTTGTCGGGTTGCTAAGCTACTTTCAGTTGGTTAAACATACTCTTCTTTTATTCTGTGCCTGTGATGATTTTCAGATCCATCTCGACCAGAATGACAAAATCGGGCTACTCCCTCTAAACAGAGCACAAAATGAAACCAGTGACCATTGAACTGGTCTCTGTGAAACCCAGCGAGGTGCCGTTTCAGTTGCAAATTTTACAAAGCAATCTATCAGGACCACCACCCAACCCCCTCCAATACAGAGTGAGAAAAGTGGGGAGGGGCTGACAGGGACCTGGGAACAAACTTTTACCCGGGGGGTTTGCAGCAGGCTAATTGAGACGTGGTTTCCATGCAGTAACCGTGTGCATTTTTATCCCTAACCCCCCTGTCGTAGGTAGACTTTGTCATAGATTTTGATTGGCTGTAGTTTACAAATGTGACCACATGTCAAGTCAAGTCAAAAAACTTATTAAGATAGATGTGAGAGGTGTTGACCACAAACTAATGTGCACATCTACGGGGGCATCCCTGTGGAAAGCCAGAGATGACTAGCAGACAGAAAAGCAGCTGAATTAACAGCTTTAACAGCTATCAGAGATTACAGAAGAGTACGAACAAAAACTTTACTCTTTACTGCATTTACTTAGTGAGACTTTGAAAGATTGCATTCAAATAAAAAGTTTTCCATTTGCATAAGCCATACCACACCTTTAACCTGCAGAGGCTGATTGTGTTGATGTGAAAGACAATTCAAGTCGAATATATTTGTATAGGACAAAAGACAATTCAGTGTGCTTCACAGACAGAGAAATATAAAACTATAAATATTATAGTCATGCTAAAAATTAACGAAAAGATTAAAACATGCAGGAAAAGCATACAGGATTACAGGGTTAAGAGGTTGAAGACACAAAGCCTTGATTTGAAAAGGTGTTCATTTATTTACAGTTTTATTATTTAGGCAAAGAATATTTTTCAAACTCTGACTTCATCTCACAGTGACTCCTTATGAGGAATTTGGCTAAAGCCAAACCTACAAAATAAATATGTATATGATTGAACTTTTTCTTTTCATCTGGATTCTTTAGGCCTGAAACAGTTTATCTACTTTATCTACTTTCCCCCCATATTTGTCACACGTACGTGTTTCAGCTCATCAAACATATTTTAAAAGCTAAACCTACCTGGCATGTGTGAAAAAGTATCCCTGCCCTAAACCTAATACCTGTTCGTGCCACCCTTGGCAGCAAGAACTGCAGTCTAGTGTTTCTGGCAATAAATGCTTCTCATCATTGTGGAGGAATCATGGCCCACATTATTTTAGTTTTAGTTTTGGAGTGGCCTTTGACTAGGGGGGAGTTACTTTTTCCACACAGGGCCCCTTGATAAATTAAATCATAATTTAAAAACTGCATTTTGGATTTACTCTTATCTTTGACAGGAAGGAGGAAAATACTTTTCTTAGAGTATATGTGAACACGCGTTTTATTGGGATTCTGCTTACAGTGTGCATCAACAGGTAGATAAATCAGCTGGTTTAGGATGGTTATCTGAAGCAGCCAATCATCTGGCTCGCCTTCTTCCCTTTTACGATTTGATGTTTGAGAGTGAGCGCGTGCAAGAATGCACGATTCAGCGTTTTTTCCCCTGAATAGACTAAATGAAAAGGTCCAGGTGAGAGCTGTGGATTCAAACACGGTACACAGCACACGGCACGCGGTCAGAGTCCCCACACAGCCTGTCCTTCACTCACACACTTTATAAAGGTCATTATTGTACTGATGGTGTTGTGATTATAGCCTGTTGTGACAGAGGCGGGTTTAGGATCGGGCCACGCGCTGATTGGACACGATGACCCCCCTGTGGCACTGTGCTTCCGTTTAGTGCGTACGCGCAGGCGCAGCGACCCCTCTCTCTTCTGATTTTTATTTACTCCCGAAACCCAAGATGGCTCCTGTGAATGTCTCAGTCCCATAGCAAATCGAGGATGCGAGTAGCTGCCGAAAAAACAACTTTTCCCCGAGCGTCGCATCCCCTGGAGTTTAATCCGTATGCCGCGGAGGAGGCTGTAACGTCCGCGTAGGCACCGAGCAGCCGTCGGAGCTCCGCGAAACCGCCTTCAATCCACCAATTTGGAGTAGTTTCGCGAAGTAGCTCTTCTCCTCGCTGTCGCTGTCTGTCCGGAGCGAGGTTCAGGCAGGCAGCTCATCCAAATGGCCGAACCGAGAAAAGTGCAGTTTGTCACCCTCTCGGCCTTCACAGCTGGAGCCGCCGCGGAGTCCAGGAAACGGCGGCTGGAGGATGAGGCCGACTTCAACTTCGACAGAGCCGGGGAGGTCGAGGCAGCGACCGGGGCAGGAGGTGCCGCCAGCAACGGTCGCCTCGTTAAAACCGGCGACAGGGACAAGGCTGCAGCCGAAAAGAGGGCGACCGTGAGGCTAAACCTGCCCCTGTCCGAGCCTGACGACCGCTCGTCCGCCGAGTTTAATTACGGGGAACTCATCCAGAACCTCCAGGTAGGATCTCCGAGTTTAAGCAGCATTACGAGGCCGGGGGAGAGAGAGTGGAGCCGGAGTTAATTTATCGCTCTTGGAAGTGTTTGTGTGGACTTGTTTGCTAAGTTAGCTGGAGAGGGGGGTGCACCTTGTGTTTCGATGGCATAGCGTGGTTGAAACTGACCAGCACAAAAGAGAGCAGCATTTCTTCATCTTCTTTTTTAATCCAACACGTCCAACTTCTGCTGAGCTCTCACAGATTCTAGCTTTTTAAATCAGAGGGCTGGGAGACCTCCTCCCCCGCCTCTCTTCCACATGTAGAGAGGGATGAAGCTGGTCTTGTGCTGCTTTGCTACCTGTGTCCTTTCCACTCAGGCTTGCCCAGCAACAGCCCAGTCACACAGCCATTACAGCACTTGGAAATGCCACATGCAGTTTGGCCCTCTGGCAGCGGCTGATAGATAGATGAGAGAGCATTGCTGATGGAAGTACCAGGATGTAACATGGGAGTGAGGCAAATGTCAGCAGTGAGATCAAAGACAAGCTCGCCACATTGTCAATCTGTGCACATCTGGATCATCTGGTTTCTGCTTATAAACCAAAAGTTAATTAAATATTTCTTACTCGGGGCCAAACAGTAGTCCTGCCAGCACCGTGTTGGGAATATTTTGAGCATTTGTACCAGCACTCACTTGCAGCTGTTCACTTATTTAAGGCTGCTGTGATAATATGTTGATACATTTCTGATTGGACTGAGTCACTGCAACTGTTTGACTTTGCCCCAGGGGTCCGATCATTCCTGTTCACTGTTTTGTTGTTCAAATTTTCTTCCAGGCAAAGAATAATGCTCCAAGTTTGACTTCAGCCCGCAATCCCGATGACCCATTCAATGATGAGGAGAGAGAGCGGCTCCAGGTTGAAGCCCTGGCTAAGAAGTTTGAAAATAAATATGTGAGTGGTTTGATTTATTTTTTTAAAATTCCACGTTTGTTGTAGGATTTTTCAATGAGGATCAAATTTCACAGCTGAAAAGTAAATCTTTAAATTAGTGGTGGTTTCTAAATAATGTTAAAGGGCCTCATTATACTGTCTGCTCGTACAGTCATGGACATTGATATTAAATGTGGACAGGTTTCATAAAATCACGTGTCTGTAAACTACTGTGGTCACCTTAGCCACACAACTCTGTGGGGACAGAAGCTCCACCCACCTGAGGTTCAAACCTTTTGATTGTCAATGACAGCCAATCAGAAGAAAGCCGACTTAAAGCAGTGGTTCTTGAACAATGGGCTGTATAGCTGGTAACCAAGTGACAAATATGAAGTGAATGATTGTGATTATTAATTATTTATTTATTTATTTATTTATTAAGAAAAACCAAAGAGCTTTCTGATCCTACTCCATTGACCTTTAATTTAACAAAAAATCATCTTGGATTTTTTTTTAATATTACTGATTAATAAAAATTGTGGTGTGGAGCACAAACTGTCTGGCTGCTGAATGTCAGAATATGTTGGAGAACCACTGGGTTAAAGGAAGTGGGAAGGATAAGCAAAGATTATTTTGAGCTGCGAATCATGCTAAGCTACTCTACACTCTAGCACTAAAAATATGGATCTGAAAATTAGTTTTCTGGAAATCAAAGCTTGTTCGAGCCACTGAAATAAACGTTTAACATATATAAATCAAAATTTCAGGTTGTTACCTAAAATGTCCAGGTGGGTTTTCTAAACTTAGAAGAAATTAATGACATTTTGAATTGCAGAGTTGAAGTTTTGAGGTATTAACATTAAATTTATGACTTATGGATAGCAAAGTGTTCTTTCAGTAGTGTAAATAAGTTTTTGTGCACAAGTCCACTTTAATAATGTTTTTCTTGCTCTGTAGCTCAACGGCTCACGCACAGATATGTGTGTGCCAATAAGCTGATGGTCACTAATTTTTATTAGTTAAACATATTAGTGTTAGTTTTAATAACTTATGGTTTTTAAGTTTAAGTTAAGCTACACTTATTTCCAAAAGTTTTATGGGATGCTTGGTATTTCCAGACTCTTGTTTTGTAATGAAAAAACTGTCAAACCTCGAGTGAATTATTGCTTCTATCTAAGGTTTCAGCACTACAGGGTCTTTGTGGCAGATATTTCATATTTAAGCAATAAACTGTACAGAAATATTCATGCTTATTACTGTTTGTGCCATATATCTTTAAGTTAAAAGACAAATTATCCGTTGATTTTGTTTTTAAAATAATTAGGTGAAGTGATTTATCCATCAGACTGGATTTGTTTCTGTGGGGGTCCAAGTGTGTTTGTTTGCACTCATCAGAGCGCCAAACGTCCCAAAAACAAAAGTATTACAAATATTTCCTCAGTTCTCACTGTGCTAATGTTTTATGGTTTCGGGTTATGTGAGGATTACAGAGAAGAAAACTGTTGTGTTCTGCGTATAAATGAAAATTAAATTCTATGAAAAACGTTTTAGGGGAACGTGGGGAAGAAGAAGAGGAAGGATCGAATGCAAGATCTGATCGATATTGGGTTTGGCTACGATGAGACAGACCCCTTTATAGACAACTCTGAGGCTGTGAGTATTCCTTTCTTCATGACTAACGAGGTGTTTTTTCCCTCTCGTGTGTCTGTTTTCTAAGACTTTCATGTAGTGGAGTGTCTGAGTTTGTCTCTATAATAATGTGGCACGCTAGTCTCCTCGCTCCCTTATTATCTGCTGATTTATTTGATGTCCTCGTTACGCTCCTGAACTGCTGCTGTTTGGTCTCGATGTGTGGAGGTAGACATTATCCCTCTGTGGTTAAATATTTATTTCCTGCCTTGATGTTTCCAAACTGTACGTTCAGTGGCACTTCTAAAGATAGACAGTTGTCCTTTATTAAACCAACCTGAGACTGCAGTCTAAAACAGTCCTCATGACTCATGAAGACGTCCGTGCTCCTTGTGTCCAAACAGGAATACGTTGTTGTTGTTGTCTCAGTGTTTATAACTCAGTATTCGGAGGATGTCACTCTCTGTCTGGCTGTAATAGCTAGAATTATGCTCTTTTATGGATTCCCTGCCATTATATGATATTTGTCTTGGTGTTTTTAAATAGCTATCCTCTCTGCTCACAAATTGGCTGCACACTGTTTGACTTATTTCTTTCCCCCTTTTTGTTTTGATATGTGCCATGATGGGAAAATTGTTTTCATCTGTGGCCCGGAGGGGATTGGGATTCTTTTACTGATTTATTTATTTCTGGCTCACAGTTAACACCCTCAGTTTCACTGACCAGCAGCTGCTTGGTGACACATTACCAGTTACTCAAAATGTTTTTAAAGCTGCAGACAGCTGCGGTGCAAGTGGCATTATTCTTTACCAGAGTCGTGTAAATTCACACTGAGACTTGTCTTCCTTTGTTAATGTTTTCCTCAGTATGACGAGCTGGTGCCCGCCTCGCTCACCACAAAGCTGGGGGGATTTTACATCAACACTGGCACGCTGCAGTTCAGAGCGGCCTCTGAATCAGAGGGAGAGGAGGACAAGGTGAGACTACCTGAGCATATTTCAATATTTCGGTGTTTGAGTCAGTTAAATGGAATTCGACTCCAAAGGGTGATAAATTAAGACCTTCAGTGGTTCTTAATTTAAAGATAAGAAAGCCAGCACAATAAATACACCCTCACCATTAAAATCCAGATGCAACAATAAACTGTTAAATAAATACTAAAACCCTAAAAGAGAAAGACTAACTTTACGCCTCAAAGTCTGCTGGATCACTCCGCTGGTAAACTTTGTCTGTAGCGTGTTTCGTGCAGTTCAGAGTGCTTTACTGGTGACTGACAGGCTGATAGCAAAAGAAAAAAAAGAACAATGTGCAGATAATCAATTCAAATAAAATCAAAACATGAAGCATCAAAGAAAGAAACTCAGTTGCAACATAGCGTTAGGTCCACAACCTGCTGGGCAGTCTTTGGGTTTTGCCTCTGTGCACCACCACAATGGATTTTAAACCAAACAATCAGGATGTGACTTAAGTTTGATTTAAGAGGATTAACACAAATTTAGCATTTACTGTTAAGGATCAACAGACACTTTTTTTTAAGTGTTTCTGATTTTTTTTTTTCAAAGTCAAAAGTAACTGAACAAACTGACATCCATGGAGGTCACTAAATCCCGTTTTGTCTCTTGAGATGCTCTGCTAGGCCTTTCCTGCAGTCCCCTTCACTTACTGCTGTTTGTGGGTCGTTTGGCATTCAGTTTTGTATTTAATAATTCTTCTTTTTCAGAAGTGTGCAGGCAGTGCAGAGATTTTCCTTTCAAAGTCAAAATTGGTCTTCCTGCATCTTCTGTTCATGAAGGCATCTCTTGATTGTAGATCTTAGCAATGATTCAAGCACCAGCTTGAAAGTTTTTCTTGACTTTGGTTAGAAGTTGCAAAGTTCTTTTTCTTGACCATGGAAATAATTCTGTGGCCTTTCAGGACTTTTGGTGTCGCTGGGCTGGTTAGTGCACTCATCCTTTGTACTGTATTGTAGATTGGCTGCTCTTAAATTTTTATTTTATTTTTTAAACCAGTCTGACAGGTTTATTTGTTTTTTTTCCACTTAATGATGGCCTCTCTTACTTATACTCACATCTCTTAAAGTGAAAAGCTATGAAGTAATAGTAGTAATAATAATAATAAGGGGGATTTTGTATAAACCAAAAAAATTCTCTAATTAATAAACACTTAAACATGTCGTAAACGCCCTTCAATTAAAACTGAAAGTCTGCACTTAAGTCACATTCTGATTGGCTGATTTAAAATCCGTACCGTAGCCAATTAATATGGACAAAGACACGAGTCTCATGTTATCAGGACGGCAACGAAATGCATGACGTAACTCAGAGTGATGGAAAAATGCAAATGTACTACAGCACACCAAGATGTCAGTCACCATAAAAACATGGCGGGCGGGCGGCGGGGCAGAGGAAATGAAACGTCAGCTTTGTCTGGTTCCCAGGTTGTTCTTGCCATGAAATTTAAAGGGTAAACAAACATACCTGGTTCGCGTCAGCATGTTGGTGTGATGATGTTAGAATGTAGCTTTTAATGTTTTTATTTTTTTATTTCCCAAACACAAAACAAATCTGCCTGTACCAAGTTTAATGACCCAGGGCGACTGCAAGGTGCTCAAACTTTGAGCTAAACCCCGTTAACTGAACTCTACTTATCAGACCATGTGACACTGCAGTCCTAACATCCAGCAAGAGCCCGTTTTTCATCTGGGTTAGCAAGATACAGTGTTGACAGCATCACTCAACACATCAATAAGAGCATACTGATCCGCACGGAGCGCTGCTCACACCGAATTCGTTATCAGTCATTGTCTGCTGTTTATCTGAATTAATGAGCGTATGTTGTTGTGGCTTTTTCAGAAGCTGAATGACAACAGCGAGCAGGTGATCAAGAGGAGGAAGAAGAAAGAAGGAAACGCTCTGGAGGAGAAGAGCACGAAGAAGAATAAAGTACCCAAACAGGGGTGAGAACCGTGGCTGTGTAATATTACTCCCTGTCCGTTTGTGTCGGGGCTTGTGTGGTTTTTATTATTAAGCTCAATGAGAGGCTTATGAAAAGCTGAGCAAGCCAAAACTCTTGAATTGAAGGACATCGCTTTGCATGCAGCTCTCAGAAAATATTCCTAATCAGGTGATTTATTCTGAAGATGTGTCTCTTCCTGTATATATGGACAGGCTGTTTCTCCTGACCTTTTTAGACACCCAGTGATTTGTGGGCCACCACAAATATGCAACGAGGCATCTGTGTGCTCTTAACCCCTCTAACAAACCGCCACGCTGTGTGACATTACACCCCTCTGCTTTTCTGTGGACGCTCTCGTACGTCTATCACGAGGCAGGGGTGCTTATTGAGACTTGCTCGCAGCTGCTGTGACAAGCAAGCCACCTTCTAGGAAATGCTCCATTATCTATGCTCGTATATGCCGAATACTCCAACAACCCTCCATCCTGAATACTACGTCTAAAAATAGCCACAGCTATTGCCATTGTGCCATTGCTAAATGGATGATGTTATATATGGGAGTGTATGTGTGTCAGACCTTTGAGAGCAGACTGCAGGTTAATCCCATTGAATCCCCACACTTTTGCCTCATATCTGTCTTTGTCAGCACGTGTCGATGCCTCAGTTTGTCTGTGAAAAGATCGTTATTGGTGCCTTGTCCTACGTGGGCCGGTGAGTTTAAGATTTTTCAAAATGGAGTGGACTCGCCTGGTTTCAGACCTCAAAACAGCCGCCCACATTTCAGATTTGCTTAAGCATTCAGATGGGTTTACTGCAACCCCTTTATGGTTGTTTGCAGCAGCTGGAGAGGCAGTTGGCTAATCAGAGCTTAGAAGGTGGGATTAAGAGCACGGGCATCATCTTCCTCCAAAGCTACATTAATGAAAACTAGTTACAAGAAAATGGTTAAGTTTAATTTAAAATGACTTTTGTGCAACTTTCATGACCTTTTGTTAAAGCAGCGTAAAGGTGAGAAAGATTTGAGAATAAGGAATTGGGCTTTGGAAAGTTTTTTTTTTTTTTTTTGACTGTCTCTTTGAACTTGTAGGTATTTTCTGTGAATGTTGAACTTTTGAATTAAAGTGATATTGATTAACTTTGCCCCTGATATGTTTGTGAATGTAAATCAGCCAGATGAGGCTGTATTCAAGGTTTGAGAAACCTGAGCAAGCTGCCTTTGTCACTGCAAATGACACCAGCATGGATATTTTATTGAGTTTTGTGATTTTGATAGTTCTTTGAGTTCTTCTTTATATGTTTTGGATACAAATGTGGATGTAATCCAGTGGCTCTGAAACAGTGATGTGGGGCACAGAGTCACGGCAGAGGGAGCATAGACAATCAGGGGGAAATGGAGTGAAACTGGTCAATGATTCATCAAGAAGAAAAAAGATGAACGTCGCTGACCTTAGTTTCAATAAATTCAGCTTGGGTCCATCTTTCTTTTTAATGATTGACTGAAAATTGTAGGTGTGACCTGTTTGGGCTCTGAATGAAAGAAAATTTTAAGAAGCACTGCAGTCATCATGTTTTCGTTTCCCTCAACAGAGTCACAGCTCTCAGCCTCCACCGACCGGAGAAGAAGAAGAGAAAGAAGCTGATAAAGGACTCTCTGTATCTAGCGACCATGCTCCGCCGCTTCACCCGCGAGAAGGAAGAGATGAGGAAAAGAAACCCCAACATGGCTCACTCTGGCCTGGCAGGAAGCGTGGCTAACAAGCCCCACTCTGGCAATACAACGAACCACCTGTTATCTTCTAACTCCACCCACCTGCAGGACAACACAGCCGCCAACGACCTCTCACTGGCAGACCTCACCTCGGACCCCGCTGTGATGTCACTGCTGGGCTCAGCCAACGAGAAGGAGCTACAGGACCTCCTGGGCGACCTGGACTTCAGCTTGTTGGACACCGACCAGCAGCACGCCATGGCGACAGCCAGAGAGAATGGCATACTGGGAGTCGGTGTGCCAACTCATAAAGCGGTAGGAGGAGGTGGCCAAGGGCGTGGCCCGGGGCCCTCCAGCAGACTGTTTTCGCCGCCTCCGCTTCCCAATGGACTGCCTGCTCCTCTTATTAAACGCATCGAGGACCTGCGGGTGGTGAGTCAGCTGTAGGCTGTTAGTGGGCGACTGCAATTACCTGTGAAACCTCTTCACTGAAGTTAAACACAAATGCCATTCAGTTGAGGAAGTGGCAGAGGATGTTTATTGTTTCTGTTTAGTCCGGAGAGAAAAGTCTCTAAAGCGTTGGAGAAATGTGGCTCAACGCTGAGCCCTGAGGGGGTTTTATGTAACTAAAACAGCAGCAGACCTCTCACCACTACCTCTTCAACATATACTTATGTTCTCGTTGCTCTTATATCTGAGAGCCGCCCATCTTTTTATAGATGTTGGTAAACATGTAAGGAGAGGTAGGAAAACAATGGAGGATTGATGCATTCAGAGGTGGAGAAGAGCAGACTGAGCCAGAGGGGAAAAATAAAAATAGTGGTAAAATATATTTGTTTTTGTTGTTGATTCAAAGATAACATGAGGGGAGTATTTTCTTTAAATGTGGACCTATTATGCTTTCCTTTTAAATTTTCTATACACACGGTTACCACAGACAGCACTTAAAAACATAGCCACAGATTCAAATAATGAGATCAGTATGTCCAAGTAATCCCTGTAACACTGCTCCAAACCCTGTTTTCAATATTTTTTTCTGCTCTTGGCTCTTTATGATGTCAGAAAGAGCAGATATCCCTTATATGGCACACAAGCTTCACTTACCTGCTATTTAGACCTGTTTGTGAGGGGCAGCCAATCAGAAGAAAGTTTGCTTAAGGAGCAAGCCACCCAGTGTAAAGCTGCTATAGTGAAGTCAGCTCTTACCAATGGTTGCCCCTCGCAGAGCCCAGTGCTGCTGGAGGCTTCTGCCTGTTAAAAGGGAGTTTTTCCTTCCTACTGTGGCTCATTGTGGCTCATCTGATTGTTGTCATCTTCTCTGTATTATTAATATGCAGCACCTTGAGGCAACTGCTGTTGTGATTTGGTGCTTAATAATTAAAACTTGAATTGAATCAACAATTAAAAAAATATGGTGACTTTGATACAGTAAGGTTCCTATTGACTTCAGGTCACGGACAGGGTTGGTGTTCGGCGCTGTAAGAACCCACATATTTTATTTTTCCTTTGCTGGTGGCCACACAGGCTTGCAGAGAAGTAACAGGCTATGAGCATTATTAGTGTAGACTGCAGCTGAATCTGGTGTCATAACTAATACTGAAAAGTAAGAAGCAGGGCAGTGAAGAGAGGTTTTCTGCAGTAACATCACAGCAAGAGTGAGGTTTTTTTGTTTTTTAATTGATCGAGTAAATTGTACACTTTCTAAACACAAGGAATACAGGCCAAAAATGACACCAAATCATGCTGTTGTTTGGGAAGTGTAACTCTTCTTCATGTTGTTCTTTTAGTCGTTTGGTCTGTGCTAAAGTTACATCGACACTTTTCAGCTGAGCTCAAATTCCACTTTAACCATAATTGCTTACAGGTTTATTGTTATATTTAGAGTCATGTATAGCTGTGTGGAGGTAGAGGAGTGTTTGCACACTGCAGTGTTGTATATGTATTTACAGCGTATGGCACAGTGCTCTATGCTGACTCAACCTTTCTCCCACAGGCTTCGCGGCAGTTTGATCAGGAGGGCAGGAAGAAATTTTTCACCCTGGACATGAATAACATTCTCCTGGAGTGAGTAGGACAGCTTTTAAATCACCGTCAGCCAAATCCCAGCACACTCTTCTCCATTTCCCTTTTTCTTTCTTTTTTCTTTTTTGGAAGCAGATTTCCCTCGTCACCTCTGCTGCTGCCATCTTTAAGTGTTTTGTTTTCTGTCCGTCTTTCATTTTCTTCAGTAATGACATGCTTCTCATTTCAATCACCCTGCTTTCATTCCTCTGGCACTTCCGTCTTTTCTCTTGTCTCGTCTCTTTTGTTTCTTTTTACCGCTTTTCTGACAATCTGGACTTTCTCTCCCTTCTCTCAGTATTGAGCTGCAGGTCCAAGAGCAGCCTCCCGAGGTCCGCTCAGAAATCTACTCCCACATGGAGGCGTTTGTGCCGTGCAACAAAGAGGCGCTCCTCAAACGCCTGAAGAAGCTCAGCCTGAACATCCAGGTGAGTTAAAGCTTTACTGTGGAGGAGAGGAAGCTGTGAATCCTCACTCTGATCTAAAAAGTGATTGAGTGCAGGAGGAGGGGGGTGTCCTTCTTCAGCCTTTATTATTGCTCTGTGGCCACTAAAAGATTCAGGAGGGGCTTTGAAAATCTCACCACGCAGCGTGGCTCAAATCTGGCCTTCTTTAACACATCCTGCAGGTCAGTGTGTGATTTGGGTGGGTGTCCAGTTTTTTCTTTTCCTGAAAGTCAAAAATTGCCCCTAAAACAGACGACCCATAAAGAGTGCAATGATCAAAAATTACTGTTAGATGTTTAGTGTAGAGACATAAAGCAAAGGAAAAAAAGGACTGGATTGGTCAAAGATGACACGGTTTTGACCTTTTTTTAATTTTTTTTACTCTTCTGTGATAAATGAATATCTTTTGATCCTTTAACTACGGAGCCCCCCAGGGGACATGGGAGAAAAAAAAA